GAGGCTGTGTTCATTTGTTGCCAGCACTGAAAATGAGCATCAAATTGTCATGATCCCACTATTTTCAACAACTTCATAGCTAAGATCCGAAGGACCAACGCATATTAAGTGCGTGTCAAAAATCTGGTCTTACGTCCTACAGTAATGTTTTGTCCGCGTAAGATCAAATTTATCTTGTCTCTAGTAATGAAAATCACTGAAGTGTGGCAAGCTTTTTTTCCTGAAACTTTCGCATTACCAAGAATGGAAAAATGGTTGGTTTGCAACGCACAGATGACGATATGGCACGAAATTTGGTATGTGTACGCGTAGTGGGACTAAGGAACAGAGTGTATGAATTCATGAAAAACTTTTGTAAATAAAGGAGGTGCTTAACTTTTTTCCAAATTAGGTGGGTAATTGCGAACCTAATGCCCACCTGATTAGGCACAATATCCAATTCAAATAAGTTTTTCAAAATTTTCAAACAGATTTTTTACACCTAAAGATTAGTACATAGTGACATTTGGGTTCCAAATTCCCTCCTATCCTCTTTGCTAGGATCCGGAATAGCAATGGCTGGCGCCGGCCCTTTGGGGAAGAAAGCGCGCTCCAATCGAACAGCCTAAGCTGACGGAATCAAGTGGGAAACCCAACAGTCGCTAATGTCAAAAACATTTGCCACCCTCTTGGGCTCATTCACAGTAGAGACGATGAAGATAGTGCCCTGATAGGCTAAGGTTTGTGGGTTTCTAGTACTGTGCAAAAGTTATAGCCCTACACGCCGTCGCACAAGTATGAAGACATAGTGTTTGAGAAAAAACCAGGAATAAGCTCGGAAGTTTGGGAAACTTCGTGCGCGTGCCCCCAGTACATTAAAAATTGCTGCAGTTATAATTTTGCGCAAATAGCTTCACGATCTACCTCTTCCGGGGTATGCTGACAGCGCCTGGTGCTTCACATTGCCGTCACTTGTAGTCGTGCACTGATGTGGTCGTTCCATAAGGTGGAATGTGCACTTGTCGTTGAGCAATTGCTCGGGTCGGTTTCCATCATACATCTCTATCAAAGTTGCAACATTGCCTGTAAAAAGTAGAGGAAATTTATGCTTAATTCCAATAAAAATAATTTCCCCGAAATTGGTTTTGTATAACAGTAATGATAGAAGGTGTAGGCTTGCACAATGCGCCAGTTATAATTTATATTTCTTAAGTAATACTGACAACATTCGATTGCAGGCAAATTATAAAACACACAAAATCCTCAAGAGGATTGATTCTACCAAATTGCAACCATAGCTTACCAACATTCCTGGTACTGTCTACGATAGCCAGCTCATTACATTCTGATAGGTAGCAGAAATTTCGCTCATCCGAACTTACTATGATTGTTTTGAACACTCCACCAT